TTATAATATAGTAGTTAGGGTAATAGATGTAGTAAGAGGAAGTTAGGTAATGTAGAGAAGCTATAATATAAAGACTTCCGTACTATAATAGTATTTAACTAACTTAATTATAACATACATATTAGTTCTACCCCTTAATAACTATTTCCCCTAGAGCTCTAGCTTCTAACTACTAGGCGATACTTTTTGACTTATAGGAAGGATATTATATACAAAAATTAGATTACGGAGGCTTAAATACGATAAGTGTTAAAATATAAGCTATTATAGTCTACACAATTATGTAGCGTTACACTTTTTAATAATAAGGGGATTAAAAGGACGTAGTATAGTTAAAATAGCTAGTTATAACAATTTTTAGGGTAATATAGTAAGATCTTACGACTTCTTATATAATACGCTAGATCTCTATACTACTTATCTCGAACATACTAGCGGCCTTAGCCTCTTCTATAATAAGTCGTTTATAATTTTCACGTCTAATAGATATCTTTACTAGGAAAGGCTCTATAGTAAGGTAATAATTTAGGCATTTGCTATCTAACGCTCCTTCCTATTATTAAAGTTAGTAACCGCATTATTTAGATTAGCCGATATCCTTACTAGGGTATAGTTAAAGTAGAATACTAGATAAGCAATATTAATAGATAGACCTTTCTACGCTAAGTAGTAGCTAATATAACTTAGACTACCTCTACTAAACTACTAGATTCTATGCGCTACGTCTATCTTATAGCCGTCTAACTAGCGCTCTAGCTTAAAACTCTTAGGTTCTTTATACTTATCTCTTATAGCGATTTCATTAATTATAAACCCTATCCTAGCCGTATAAATGTAACCTTTAAACTCGATATCTATAGTAGCATAATAGTTAGGAGTAACCTAGAAAATCGGGCGCTATCATAATAGTTCCTTAATAATTGCGTAGATATAAGGTATATTCTTAAGATTAGTAAGGTTAGGCAATCTTAGACTACTATTATAGTCGTAAATTAGGTTAACTTCTCGACGGGCTCGTACGAAGCTATTAGGGTAGTATACTATAGACATTATAAAGGTGTTAAGAACCTTATAAGTCGTATTACTCCTAGCTTTAATTAGTTATATAGCGACGTATATAGCGTCCAAATCTAAGCCTATATACTTAGACTTAGGGTTAAGAAGTATGTCCCTTACGAATAAAGGGGGAGTAGTACCCTACTTAATCTATTCTATTATAGGTTGCTACTAACTATTATAGGTTCCATTTTCCTATTTTTTCCTAGTAGGGGCGCTAGAGCTATAGAGGTTAGGGTAACTTGTTAAGCTTAGGAAACTAGTTAACTAAACTTCTACTAATACTACTAATAAAGGTCGTAATAATATCCTAGAGGTCGCTAAGCTCTTTGCCTAATTAAGTAAGGCAACCGCTAAAAGCGATCTAGTATACTACTAAGTTTGCGTAGTAATAGTAATGTCTATACTATCTATACGGTTAAATTAGGTGTTTAGCTATTATCTATATGCTTTTAAGCTCTTACTACTCGCCGTACTATCTAAGAGCTATACTATTTGAATAAGCTATATATAATACTTCTATGCTTAGTCTAGCCGCTAGGGGGTAGAAGTAGAGATCTACTACTCTTACTAAGTATTTCACTAGCAACAGGCATTAGAGATCGACCATTTGTTTATAAGCCTCGCTTAGCTATAATCTCGTTAACTATACGAGTACTATTAAGAAATATGTAGGTCTTTAATCCGAGGTAAATAGTTGCTATCTCTCTATACTCCGTAAGACTACGTTACTATACTTTGTTAATTAAGCCTATAATCGAACCTAATTAACGACTTACCCATCTATGCTTAACGTTATTAGGAGCTTGCTTTAGTTATCGTAGGCTCCCTACGATTAGTTAGCCTTTCGGCCCTACTAGAAGTTTCGATAGCTGTCCGTTTTAAGTGTTACGAAGACCTATAGGAAGGAATTTACGACGGATAGTAATGTATAATAGCGTTAGAAAGACTATAAGTAGAACAGCTACTACTATTATAGGCTTTATCTTCGTAGTAAGGACTATATCGTCGTAGATAGCCATTCTTTTAAGCTAGAGGTTTTCGTTAAATTAATTAAGCGTAAAACTATAGTAGGATTGTTTAACATAGTAGTTATAATACTAATCTAAGGTTAATGTCTATTAGAGGAATCTAATATAGTTTAATACTAGTAGTCGTAATAATGGCGCTACTAACTTTAACCGCTAATATAGGCTCTAAACGCCGACATAGACCTTAGAAGGTCTTAGAACGAAGCCGACCCCGCTCTTATATAGATTAAAATAGCGTAGGTTCGTATCATTATCCTATTAATTAATTCCGCTTAATCATTCGAGTATAGCTTTATCTAATACTTCTCCTTTCTCTTACTTTCTTAGCTCTAGTGCTAAAAGATAACTATAGCTATATCGATTGCTAATATAATTAAGAATGCGGCTATTAGCTAGCCTAAAGCTCTCGAATTAAACAAAATTGATATATATTATTACTTTGTTCCTAAGTTCTATATAGAGGCGGTTAGAAAGGCTAGTAGCGATCCTAGCGGTTAGCCTACCCTAAGTTAGAGTTAGGCCGAGTTAGAGCATATAATAGATCGTCTAGGCGTATAGGTTATAGTCCTCTCTATAACCGCGCTAGGAGCTTATATACTTAAAGGAGAGGACGCATCTAATCTCGCTTATAAGCTTAATCTTAAAGTAAAAAGAATCTAAGATTTATAGTCGACTTAGTTTACCTTCTTTGCTAACCTTCTAAGTCTACTTAATACTAAAGCGGCCCTTAAGGAGATTCGTTATGCTATAGCTAAGCTACACGCTAATAGCGTAACGCTATTTATACGCTATAGAGAAGGCAACACTTATCTTAGACATATAGACCTACATCCTATATAGGCGGAGATAAATCGTAGGAAATATATTATCTTTGTATACCCTACTTACCCTAAGGATATAGATCCTATAAACCCTCGTATACCTTAGCCTATAATCGACTATCTACATAAAACAACTAGGACTGCTATAGATATAATTATTTAGGGTACTAGAACCTACTTTCTAGACTATAAGGTAATCCTCTCTTACGCTAGTAGGACACTCCCTTACATTATTAGCTACTTAGCAACACTACTTAGCTATACACTAGATGTAGCTATAAAAGTTCGCCTAGGTGTTACCTATAAGGAGATGGTTAAGGCCTTCTATAGCTTTCATTACGACCTTACTCTATCTAGTTTACCTACTATACTTAATATGCTACTAAAGCTTGTCCCTTACGATCATATTCTTTATAGAGTAAGCTAGCTCCTATCTTCCTATCTATCTATCTTACTAACGATATTTTAGAGTAACTTTCCTTATATACTATTACTTATATATCTAGCATTCTTATAAGAACTTAAGTCTTATAATATAACGCTTAACTTAAGGAATAAGATCAACTTTAGGAACGCTAGGAAATTGCTTCCTATAATGCTATAATAGATATATAGCGATGTTGTCTTATAGTATATATACCTGTTCCTCTAGTATTTACGTTAGACTTTATCCTAACTATCTTAAATACGTAGTCGCTTAAGAATGTTTTACTTGTAGGTATAAAAATTTGCGACAAATTAAGGTAAAGAGAGTTAAAACGAAAATTAAGATAGGCGCAAAGTTTTCTAGAATACTATGCTTTATACCTATATATGCATATTTCTATAGATGTGACGTTATAGACTCGTATATTAACCCTTACTACTATAGTAGTAATAGTAGTGCTATAATATAGTACCTATAGAAGGTGTATTAGTAGTACCCTAACATCCTAGTCATTATATTAGAGTAGGTGTCTATCTCGCGTAACAAGAAAAATGCGATCATTTAATATAGTTACTAGATACGAGATTATACTATTCTAAGTAGTCTATACTACGTCTAGAGTAGACATTAGATAGATTAGACTAGACCTAACCTCTAGTCTAGTCTACTAGATCTACTAAGCGATCTACTCTAGCTAGATCTAGTAGATCGGATCGATCTAGTCTAGTCTAGTTACTATATAGAGGGTCTTAGTAGAGGAGGTAATATAGCTAGTCGATAGAAGGGAGTCATTCATTTAGCCTCTTAAGGCACGCTATTTATAAGTTTAAACGAGCCCTTTAGCCTTATAATAATACTAGTCTTTATCTAGCTCTTAATATACTACGTCTAACCTATTGCTCTTATAGATAGCTTTCCTCGTAGCGGTGTTACTATAAGGCTAGTACTCGAGAACACACGCTCTAGCTTATCTAATATTGCTAGTATTATAAAGAGATCTCGAGCTATACGTAATAGACGGGGGTAGGCCTACTTTTAACGCTATATTAACTAGAACTTAAGAGGTCTATACTCATTTAGTTATTGCCCTTCCTTATACTACTTCTAGTATTTATTAGTAGATATGTTGTTCTTAACATTAGAGAAGTTGCTTAGAAGGTCATTATCTATCTAGCGTGCGTTATCTTTAATTATAAGAGACTCTATGTCCTTAGTAGTAACTAGAAGGTTAGCATATTTAAGCTATAACTTCTTAACTGTAACGCGAGCTTAGCTAATCTAACTAGGGCGACCTCGCTATACCTTCTTAAGCCATTTCTACTCTAGACTAGGATAGAGCATAAATGCTACGACATATATAGGTGACTAGTTAGTCTTTAAGTAGTATTCATCTAACTTCTACTATATAAGGTTAATGCTAACATAAAGCATATAGTATTCTAGCGTAGTTTTAAATAGATCTTTAGCTAGAGATTCGTAAGTAGAAGGAAGGGGAGGAGGCATTAATTAAGACTAGCTTTAAGACTATTTCGGCCTTCTACGTTTAGTACAAATAGGTGCTAGTACTAGTTTATAGTGATCTTATGAATCGAAGATAGTAGATGTCTAAGAATTAACTATAGTATAATCCTAAGTTAGCCGAATAATTAAGTATTCTTGCTTTATAACCTTAAGATAAGTAAGTAATTTCTCTATAGTAGGGATTACCTACTAAATTGCGCTATAACTAGCACCTCTACCCTTGCCCTTAAGACGCTAAGTTACCTAGTAGAGAGGCTAGAGAAGTCCGTTATATATAATAATAATAGACTAGTTATCTTAAGTAATAAAGTCGTTAAGGAAGGCTAGCTTCTTATAGCGCTTCTCTAGAGGTAGTTTCCTACTATAGTTAGTAATCTTGTTCTAGTAATCTTACTACTCTATATACGCCTTATAATAGAAGTCCTTAACTACTAGCCTAATTTTAATAAAAACATTAATAGTGTCTAACATTAAGTTCTATTAAGTGTCTTTAGGCATATAAAGCTCGCTAATCTTACTAATTAGAGGATAGTCTTATTGTAACTGCTTAAAAGCCTCGTTTCATTAAGGCGAGGACTATATCTAGATAATAGTGTTTCTTATCTTACTAAGAGGGCCCTTCTTACGCTAAATAGAGAGGTTATAGTCCTTAAGGTCGATTACTATAAGCTCGTTCTCGAAAGCTTCCTCGTCTATACTCTATAGTATAGCTTAAGCTATAAGGTTAATCTTATAGCTAGAGCAGTAAAGGCGTTAGTGTAGGGGGCTAAACCTGTATTTAAGGACGAGAGCTTCGATATAGGTGTCGTTATTTGTTACGTTATTAGTTATAAAGTAGCTAATACTCTTACTAATGTTAAAGTGCTTAATAATTGCTATAATATTGTTAGTAATATTAATACTAGAGTAATGGCTAAGTTGTTATAGAAGTGCTAGCAAGAAAGTCTTTAGATTACTAAACTTATTAGCGAAGTAATAATTAACACCTAACAACGTACGTAGATTACATAAAGTCTATAGATTAAAGGATAGATAGATCTTACTTGTAGCGGCATATAGATTCTTAGTAATAATGCCTATATAGCTATTATATACCTACGAGATATAGCTAGCGATTGTCTTATATATTACAAGATAACCTTACTAACTAACTAATAGATTAAGCAAAAGCAAAAGGTCCTATAGATAGGGTAATTTAAAAAGCTAAAATACATGGTTATTATAATAAATTAAAGCTATAACTCGAGCCTTCTAAGTAGCTAGGTAGAAGACTATCCTATAGCGCTCTATGTCTTGTCTATAACTTAAGCTCTTAGTTAACGAAGCAGCAAAGCTACTAGATAGGCGACTACGTTTAGCCTAGCCTTCACTATATATAGTAATGTTGTAGATCGATAAATGATTAATGCTAGGTATAGTGCTATAGCCTACGCTAAAGGCATAACGAGTAATACGTTTATTATAGTAAGAGCGATAGACCTAGTAGTAAGCCTTAGGAACTACGCCCTAAACCTACATTCGCTAGCTATAGTTAAATATCTATGTAAAGTCGACGTCTTTGTAGTAATTAAGGTTTTCTAATAGTGCGAGAGGTATTAATATACGTAGTAGTACTTCTAAAGTCGTTAGGTCGTTAAAATTTAGTAGGGGTGTTAAGCTTAGAGGAGGGCGTAAGGGTTGTTAATAGAGCTAAGTATTTGCTTTAAGACTCGAGTAGATTAGAGGAAGAGAGTATCTAAGAGCTCTATAAGGTCTCCGCTAGAGTTTAAGAAGGTTATGTCGCTATATAGTAGCTATAATATAGCTTATTTAGACGCGTTGTTAAGAAGGCCTCGACTAAGGTCTCCCGAGGTTTAGCTAAGCTAATTAGAAGACTACTAGAGTACTACTAGATAGTCTGCTAGATCTACTAGATCGATCTAGTAGATCTAGTACACTAAACTAGTCTACTAGACCGCTACTTAGGATCTAGTCTAGCTAGCGATCTGGTAGATCGATCTAGTAGACTAATTTAGCGATCTGTCTAGTACTAACTCTACAAGCAGATAGTGGCGAAACTGCTAACCCTAATCGCAGGGCCGAAAAGTCTTATAACGAATTCTAAGGTCGCTACGATAAGATGTTGTATGTTGATTTTCACATTGAGAAGTCAAGTTAGTTCCTCGCTAATTTCTTAGTGCAAAGAAATACCAGTATATCGATTCCTCGTGTCATCGACTGGAACGATGATCCTTCAAACGCCGTTGGCTGCGAATACGTAATCATGGAGTATGCTGCAGGCGTCCCGTTGAGCAGCGTTTGGCAGCAGCTCGCCGCCAATGCGTCCGTTCGCATTCTGAATGCATACAGCTCGACCCTCAAGGGTCTCCAAGGAAGCACCGATTTGTATCTTTCAGCGGGACTATATGGATATCAGTTCGCGAACGCTGCAGAACTAATGCGCTCTTACTCTGGATGGAACATCTCAAGCCAACATGACTTCGGAACCATTCTTACGGACATCTTTGCGAGCGTGAGTCTTTCGTTTCTGGAGAAACACAACGGCAACCCAACTTCCAAGTTCCATGGGCATTATTACGCCAACTGGGATCTGTGCAACATCGCAAATCTCATGGCTGTTGGTATCTTCACGGACAATCAGACAATGTACGACTACGCCACAGAATACTTCTTGACTGGTGCTGGAAATGGTGCCCTACCCAACTTCGCAGTCGCCAATTTTACTGAAGAGGGCACAGGAAAGACCCTCACGCAAGGCCAAGAAGCAGGGAGAGATCAAGGACATGCGACTCTTGACTTTGCACTGCTCGGTGTAATTGCACAGCAAGGATTCAATCAAGGAAACGATCTGTTCGCGACATACGAAAGCATGATCTTGAACGCGCAAGTCTCCCTCATCAGCTTTGCGCTTCCCTCTTTTGCTGACATGCTTCTTACAGCGCTGAATATGCTGCAAAGTACAATGTCAACCAGACAGTACCATACACTGCGTACGACAGCTTCGAAGGCGTCCAGTACAACGTCTCAACCAAGAGTCGTGGCAACATACGTCCTGGTTTTGAATTGCTCGTTGCGCACTATGAGGATGTCAAAGGTTTGAATGCATCTTGGAGTGCAGCATATCGTGACTACGTCAATCAGAACACTGAGCTCGGCGTGGAAGGAGGTGGCGGTAACTACGGTCCGAACTCGGGAGGGTTCGATGCTCTTGGACACGGGACTTTGATGTATCGCCGGAAATGCGACGAGGAGTGAGCAGTTCCGTCAGCCCGAACACCCATGTACCAGACTGTGGTTTCCGTTACAAAAGCAGACTCCATTTATCTACGAGCCACGAACATGCCCACAAATGAGATGCCATATGCAGCTGCAGCAAGGGAAAATGGCAGACCCAGCCACGTGCCTCCTCAGTGGATACCCTGAGTCAAACCCACATTGGCTAGAACAGCACCCATCATTGATCCAATCCCATGAAACAGAGCAACAATCGCGTATAGTTGAGTCATATCCTTGCGCTCAACAAAAGAACTGAGTAGGGACTGGAACCTTGCTCGGCAGCCGCATCCGAATGTGAATACCATGAGGCCTGGGTTCACTGTTAGTTTGTGCAGTAGAAGGGATTTATGGAGTGCAGGTACCAAGGAAGAAGATGGGTACGCTGTCTGCCATGCCCATGCCAAGCGACCCAGCAATGAGACACAGATTACTTGTCACAGCCAGAAGAAAGTCAATCTTGTTTACATGGAAGCAGAAAACCTGTCGAAGAATCTGCTTCACGCTTGGTAACATGTCCAGTAGCATGATCAAGCTCTTCCGGCACAACCCCTGCGTCTCTGTTCGACTCCATGCTGCTCCCAGTATCCTGTCATGCCGCGCTCATGTCTAGCGTTAAATGTGTAGTAGTTTTGGGGTATCTTGAAAGTGAGATAGGCGACCTCCGCTCCGCTATCATTCGTATATAGCAGCGGTGTAGAAGTGCAATCAGCTAATCTCCTCACGCACGTTCATACTACGGCGTATACCGAACACCCAAGACGACAAATCTATCACACCTCGACCCGCCAATCTTCTTAGCTAAGCAACAATCAAGCACATCTTTCTAGCCAAGCACAATCAAGCCTCGGTGCACGCATGCAGATCGGCGCGTCACTTGGCTGCTTCAGGAAGGTCATTGGTCAGACCACTCATCTTAGCACGGGAGATGGTGTTTGCAAGCTACGAGTCCGTCCGCCTTGGGCAGGCACGAAGTGCAACTCAAACATCAGTCTTGATATTGCCACGTTGTCATGCGTGTATCCTATGCAAAGAAGATCAAAACTCTGGCAAGGAGAGCGAGCAGGCGAACTCCTAAGATCAGATATGCGTTGCAAGTCAAACTATAAAGACGCGGGCTCAGCGCGGTAGATGCGAGCGGTGGAAAACCATCAGACATCTCCTTCTCCAGCCTACCTTTTCAGCATGCCTCACATTCGCACCTTTGCCGCCGTGCTCAGCGCAGCTCTCCCCGTCGCCAACGCTTGGGGCACTTTGGGCCATGAAACCGTGGCTTTCATTGCCCAGGACCGCATGGCCGGGCACACGGTCTCCTGGGCTCAGGGTGTTCTGGACAACACTAGCACTTCCTACCTGGCGGGCATCGCCGCGTGGGCTGATACCTACCGCTACACTGCTGCTGGAACCTTCAGCGCCCCGTTCCACTTCATCGACGCAGAAGATAGTCCACCTTCGTTGTGTAGTGTGGACTATGACCGCGACTGTGGAGCGAAGGGCTGTGTTGTTAGGTGGGTCTACAAGACGTACCTCTTGTCTGATTCTAGCGGCTGATGTGATCTTTTTGCTTCTCTTGTTTAGTGCTATTGCAAACTACACTCAACGTGTCGTTTCCACCACTCTGAGTAACACCGAAGTCAACCACGCGCTCCGTTTCCTCGTTCACTTTGTCGGCGACATTCACCAGCCTCTGCACGACGAAGCCCTCGAGATCGGTGGCAACGATATCGACGTCACTTTTGCCGGAGCCTCAACCAACCTGCACCACATCTGGGATACAGAGATCCCCGAGAAGTTCGTCGGCGGTTACTCTCTCTCCGATGCCAAAGCCTGGGCTCAAACCCTCAACACTGCCACCAAGAGCGGCATCTACGCATCCCAGGTCGCGAGCTGGACTAAGGGCTTGGACGTTACTGATCCGGTCACGACCGCTCTTGATTGGGCTTCTGAGGCTAACGCCTACGTGTGTTCCACCGTCATGCCTAATGGCCAAGCCGCGGTTGAGGACGTCGACCTTAGCGGAGCTTACTACGCCTCGGCTATCTCGGTTGTCGAACTCCAGATTGCTAGGGCTGGTGTAAGACTGGCCGCCTACTTGGATGCTATTGCGAAGAATCAGAAGGTGCTCACCAAACGCCTTGTCCAGGACGACGTAGACATGAGCGGAGCCGATCTACTGCCGGATACCAGACCATTGAGCAAGGCTAAATTAGTGCGTGAGGCCGTTGGGTATGGATGTAAGCACTAGATAAAGGCTTCGAAATGATACTATGGGCGGCGTAAGGAGAGGTTTAGCTAGCCCGTGCGCGTGAGAGACTGGAACGGATTCTGCAGAATGTGTCTGTTATCCAGAATGACCCTGAGTGGGGAAGACGTGCCAGTCCTTTCTTGGGCGCGTCATCGGCGTCGGGGAGGACTGATTGTTGATCTTGGCTCTCCTGTTGGTCAATCTCTTGATATTCGGTCGATGACTTCTTCACTGTATCGAGAGGGATCGCATAGACTGCGATCAAGGCAAGAGCTTCAAATACAAAACCCAGCATGATAAGTGAGTACATGAAACCTTTGCTCATGAAGGCAGCGCTGATCAAGGGCATGATCATTTCCGTAACGAGCTCAGCAGCCCCCATGAGGAGGAAGACTGTTGACCTATCGATAGCATGTCAGCCCTGGGTGAGTCTGGTATGAGCTGAGATACGCACCTCTCTGATGTTGGCGCTGCATTCGCAACAGTTGCAAGTATCACGGCGGAAGATATAGGTGCGCCACCACCAATAGCTCTGAGCAATGGGGATACCACAATTGCGTTGATCGGGAAGACGTTCCAGCAGAAGGCTAATAGGTTGATCAGTCTTTGTTCTCGAAGAAGTAACAGCTAGACAAGAAACAAGTTACAAAATATGAGAATCCACACACTCGAAAGGGCATACCCGATCAAGTTGAGACCTGCGACAAATCGACCGCCTTTGACTTCAGCCAACATACCGTACGGTATGACCAACAGAAGCCCTGAATTTTATCAGTCGCCACAACTTCCATCATGGAAAAGGACCACTCTCACCAACAGCGCCTTCCGAAGTACTACCAAGCCATGCCTTCAGCAGCGAAAGCTGTTCCTGGACTTCTCCTATCTTGCAAAGATGTTCGGAAACATTTCCACCGGCGTCGATGAAACCTTGGTTGTGCTTGAGATAGTATTGTCTGCAGTATCCGAGTTCAAAGAGGCGCATGGAGGGTGCGAAGCGGAGGATGTCGGCGAACTGGAACATCACAGTGAAAATCCCTGCGAGCAAGATGGTGAGCTTTCCGGCACGGGTGAAGATGTCGGCATCTTTGCTGAGACTTCGAGTTGCGGCTTCGTGAATATTTGCTGGCTGATTTTCCGTGTCGCGTGGAGGCAAGAGACTTGTGGTTTCAGTAAGCGCAGTCATAGTGAGCTATCTCGAGTGAAGCTACGCATGGAGTTGCAAAGAGAAAGGTGTAAGTAGCGTTGTGATTCGCCGATTCGATTACACGAGGCGAAGAATTCGGGTGCCTGATACCCTTATCGCAGGTAGGGCACAGTATCGTGTTGCCTAATCATTCTTGAAGGTCGTTCCTTCCCCAGGCAGCAGCGTCTGCAGGTAAGCGCCGGACGGATGTGATGATCTGCGTCGCATTTCAGGCTGCGAAATCCAGTCGTCTGCGAGCGCAACTAAGAATGATTTGATCTTGCTTTCCTTGACAAAAGAAAAGTGACTGCCAGACTATCCCGATGCAAAGTATCGTAGCTCAACAAAAGCATCTCGCAAGCCTAGCCATTGATAGGAAAGAGCAAACTGCACGAGCACGAGCACGTGGAACCGCGTAATTAGCCTCCTGGGCGCGACGTAGGACTGTTTGATGTGTTGGTCATCATCTATAACAAACTTTTAAGCCTGGTACTCTAGTAATCACCGACAACAAAGGGGACTTGTCTCTCTGAAGTGAGTCACCCAGGATGACCAAACTGTCATCAATGCGATAGGACAAAGCGCGACATAAGCGCTGCAAAGAACGTACTACGTCGCGATTCGCTGGAGCAAAGCCTTTCTCATGAAGCAGTCTGGCGTCTATTATGCAGTTGGTGTTTCATGAGGATGCTTAGCCACAGTTATCTTTGTCCTAGGAGCAGATACATAAGGTGTTCGTCTCAGCGTCCAACCATGCGATGTCCACATGTGGTCATAAAAACTGATCATTTCGACTGGCGAAACCTGTGATCAAACTTGTCTTTAAGTCAGATGCCCTCCGGAAAGCCACGCCTGTATGTTGCTCTGTACCCAAGTGGTGTTTCCAACAGCGAGGAGCGCAAGTAAGGAATCCTGGCCAAATGGAGTGTATGCAGTGGACATCGTGACAACTGACTGTCTGCAGATACCACTGGGCTTTCATCGTCGGACCGAAAAAGGAAAGCTCCAAAGTAGTTCCAGGCATACGCTACCATGTTACCAACCCTCCCCACGTCGGGTGGCAATACGAGAAAGCCGACCTTAAGAATGTTCGCTTCACCAACAATCTGCTCGCACGTATCATGATCGCCAAAGTCGAAGATGTTGAAAGACTTGAACGGATTCTGCAGAACGTGCCTGTTATTCAGAATGACCCTGAGTGGAGATGCCGAACCTGGATTAAGAATGCGTTGGGAGAATTGGAAAAAGATGGACAAGTTGTTGGGACCGCCCAGTTGAGTTGGGAGAAGATCGAGCGGACCGCCAGGGATTATGTGGCTCAAAAGACTGCGGCGGGAAGATACCAGCAAGAGGATATCATAGCTAAACCCAGACCGATGTGGGATATGCTGGAAGAGAAGGAGACCGTTCCATGAGTTCGAGTTGTTTGATACGTTGTTTTGTCGAGGACTTAACTGGGTATGGCGGCGTCGCATCGAGAGAGGGGATGAATCAGAATTCACCCCACCACTTGTTTCGTGTTTTCTCCATCTCGAACTCTGCGGGAAACGTCTCGAGGAAGCGGCTCAGACAATCCTGCCAACCAGTCCTGACCAGGTTTCCAAACCATGCGGAAGTGTACTCCCAATAGTGCGGATACCAACCTGCAAATTCCCAATCAATGATGCCTACAACCTCCTCGCCTCGAACCAAGATGTTGGATGGGTTGAGATCAGCATGTGTGAAAACAGGGTGTGGCCATGGACCATCCTGCATAGCTTCCATTTCTTCCAGCTGTTTCTCTTCAGAGCTTTCCAGATTGCTAGATTGTGTACGGTCGGTGGAGCGAAAGCCTTTTCGAAGCCAGATGTGAAAGTCTTGAATGGTCGCGAACGGGCCGAAGCGAGTTTCGTTTCTGTTCATTCGTGAGTCATAGAGACTGCCTCCAACGCAACTCTGTACTCCAGTGCCCGGCGGAGGTTCCAAAAACCTCATTTCCTCGATCATGCCTTTGAGCTGTGCGAAGATTTTCGCTCGCCCCTCCTCTCCAAGCCGATTCCAAGCGGCGGGTATCTCTTCCCCATGGATACGCTCCATCACGATGAAAGAGCGACCTTTGTGAGCAAATGCGCAATGCACTCTCGGTACTGGGATTGATGTATTTTCGGCGATGTACCTCATGGTCGCGGCTTCGGTCAAATGAACGTAAGGGCCAGTCTTGACTATCTTCTTTCTCGATATGGGGCTACAAAAGCCATCAGACTTGTACAACCTTCCCCAAGTCTTCAGTGCGAGTCTTGTAAGGAGGCGATTGAATGTGGAATCGTTGATGGCTAGGTTCTGGATGTCGAGAGGCTGAACCTCGTCGGCCGCTAACGCCGCGGCCATGTCTGCGTTCGCTGCTCGCGATGATCTCACATGGACATCAATGGATCAAAGCATGCGCCGATACAAGACGAAAGATCGTACGAAGGCGGAGACGAATGGTGATCAAGAAATCGTGGTGCAAGTCTCACAGGTGACTAGGAGCAAGGTGGGCGTGTTTTCATTCCCGAGCGGCCAAATCTCTTGGCCAAGAAAACACAGGGTCCACCGCGTCCGCCCACTCTGGTATACTCGTAGGTCGCAGTTTGCTTGCACGACGGTCCCAGCCATCAGGATATCGTAACGGACCTGAAGCAGACCGAATAGATTGAACTTCAACTGAATTAAGTAACGTTGAAGAGGTTCTTCATTCCACTCTCAAGATATATCCGACAACTCCCTATCCTTGGTTCATCTCGTCTGCATCCTATGCTCTTCGTCCGGAGAATAGTAAACACCATTCTGCAACGACTCTCTCTGCACGGTCGCACCCCTTGATGAACTATTACATCCATCCTCCGGCCTCAGCACTTTGAATGTCGCATAGAGCGTAGTTGCAAAGAGGAGAGGTAGAGTTGCCATGTGAGCAAGGCGTGGCCGAGGAAATTGGTTGTGACTTGGATCTCGTAGCATTCCGGGCTAAGACGGCGATATCAAATTCTGCTTGAGTACCGAAAACATGGTAGCCTTACAAAGCAGTCAAGCATACTTGACCACCTTCTCACTCTACAACCTTGATCATAGTCTCAACAACGCTAAAGTCCAATGCCCCTTTTTCCCAAGCATAATCAGATGGAGATGGGCCTTTGTCTCCCCGATCAACCAATACCTCATCTTTAGTCGCAAAGCTCCACTTGCACTTCTCAAGCAACTCCATATTCAAACCGACGCGATACTCCTTCCCGGCTTCCAATCCATCAACTCCCGTCGCACTCTGAGATCTGCGAATCTTCATTGGGTTGCCCTTGTCATCGAGTTCCCAACCTTTCTGTACGATAGACTTGGGCAATGGCTTGACTGTGCCCGAATTGCCCCTGCCAAAAGGTCTCGAGAGGGTGACGGGGATGTTGGGGAGGAGGGTAAGATAGAGCTCTTCGTCAAAAGAGCCACGGATGCGGTTAATGGCTACTCTTTGCACCAAGAGGCGTGTTGTTTTTACGGGTTCGTTGATTGCAATATCAGTGATGGTGACGCCGTTGTTGGTAAGCGCTCGATTAAAGTGTAAAGGGGTATCCCAGGTGAAAAAAGTGATAGGTCTGGTGGCGCGAGAGGTCAATACCATTGTAAGGATCGGCGGGCTAGGTTGGGTGAAGCTGTGGGTTGAAGGGGTGATGGAGAGCTTGACGTCGATGAATGGACAGAATTCAAGACTGGTGTTGGTTCCTGATCCCATCGTTTGCATGCGGCTGATGACTTCTGTTCAGTTTCCAGGGCTGGGTATCGAGGCAGCAGTCATGTGTTGAAGTCCAAATAGTAACAAGTGAGGGGAGCCTGACAGAAGGGTAGACATGATGTCTGCCAAGAAACCGCTCCCAAGCTGCCGGAGGTCCAAAGTCCCGTGCCTCTGCCGTCGATATGCACCGAAACTGCTTTCGCATTGGATCCTCGATGAGTTCCTTTCTTCAAATCAAGGTAAGCCTGACAGCCTGTTGGCAATGTCGCACCATGCAGGGACCGACTGGAAGAGAGTGGATATCGCATCGAATCGATGCGCCATGTCGTGGCAGATATCATCATCTCTGCAACAACTCTTTCAAAGCACCGAACTTGACAGGCTTTGTATGGAACTCGTCAATGCCACTCATTTTTGCCTCTTGCTTCGAAGCCTCTGATCCAAGTCCTGTCAACGCAATGATCCGTGCAGGCTTGAGCTGTCCTTGCAAAGCCTCGTGACTTCTGATTGCGCGACTTGATTCGAAACCATTCATGACAGGCATACTGATGTCCATCAGAACTGTGGTGAACTTCGTAGACTTAAACTTCTCGTAAGCTTCCAGTCCATTGACGGCGGTCTCAGCAGAGAAGCCAAGCTTCTTCATAAAGGTGCTCAGAAGACGGAGATTGATGGCGTTGTCGTCGACAAGGAGGAAGTGCTGTTGATTTTGTGCAAGAGTGATGTCCTCTTTCAGTGGTGCTGTGGTCTCCGTCGCGATTGTGGTGATGTTCTTGGCCTTCTTCAAGGATGGCTCAAGATCTGGACTGAACGCGGTCGTGGTTGGAGGCAATGGTGTCGTCGTCATAGGATCCGATACAACAACGCTTTCGAGTGAAAGATGTTGAGGCTCAGTCAAGCTGGAAGAGAGGGCGCGAACAAGTGCCTTTGGACCAATCGGGTACGGCAGAATGACAGCATTCGACAAAAGCTTCTTGCCAGGATTGGCATCAACCAGAATCAGGCGTTGCTTGCCGAGTCTCGTCGAGAGCTCAGGATCTGTCGCAAGTAGGTTGGCAATGAGCGACTCTTCCGCGATGACGATATCTGCGGTGACGTCTTCCAGTTTGCCGCAAGTCATGACATCCATACCAAACCACTGCCGCGTAATGGACTGCACACATGAGTGCATTGCTGCTGTTCGTCTCATTTGCAAGTCCAGTTGTGCAGGTGAGGAATTGAGGTCAGGCTTGTTCGAGGGCGAGAGCAAGCAAATAGAGCGACCCTTCAGTATCGCTTTCGGGTCCAATCTGTCGCCACCATTGGGCAGAGATGGGTGCTTTGCTTCGTCATAATCTGGGATTGGTACAAACACATCAAAGCGAGTTCCAACGCCCTGTGTGCTTTGTACATCAATGGTACCCTGCAAGTCCTGAATGATCTTCTTGACGATGCTGAGTCCAAGCCCGGTCCCGTCAGCGATGGGGTTTTCCTGGACGAAAGGCTGGTATAGGCTGCGCTGCACAAACTCGGGAGCCATTCCAATGCCGGTGTCCTTCACCATAAGATGGGCAGTGCGCTTGACTGGATTGTCCGGGTGTTTGATAACTTTCAACGCAACTTCGATGAAACCTTCATTCGTGTACTTGAGAGCATTGGCGAAGAGATTCATGACCAGCCGTTTCCAGGCGCCAGCACAAAGCATCATGCACCAGTCTGCTCGGCTCTCAATGTCGACATAAACTGCAACAGTTGGTCCAGCTGTGGTCGATGAGCTGTTGTTGGCACCATCGACAAGCAGGGCCGAATTCAAGGAGAAGTCGGGGCCTGCAGATTGACCGATAGGCGTGTTTTGCATCTTGTTATAAGTAGCCTTTCGCTTGGCTTGACCGAAGTGTAATCCCTCGACTACCCCTAAAACCAGATCGCAAAGATACTCTTGACTGTAATCTCCAAAGGCGTTTTGGGCAAGCTCTTGTGTTTCGCCACAGGAAAGCGTCTCCGGGTGGGGCTCGTCGTCAGTGAGTTTGTTGACTCGGGAAAAGTCAAGGACATGGTTTAGAGTATCGAGCAGTGTCGAAGAACAGCTTTGAATCATCTCAACCAGTTCAGACTTGGAGTCGTTCTGGGGGTCTTGGAGGAGATCGACGGCAGCATGAATTCCATGGAGTGGTGAACGAAGCTCATGACTGATGGACGAGAGGAAGTCAGACTTTGCTCGTGCCAGCTCTGTCATTTCGGTCCTGGCAATCTCGGTCATAAAGGTGTTTCCGAAGGCTGACAGGCACGTCATGTCCTGTTCTCCAAGCACACGGGTGGGATTGCTTGACCAGCCCAGCATGCCAACAATAAAACGATCTTCTACATTGTCCCATAGCGGAAGGAAGATCAGGGATCCCGCCTTTCGAATCAGCGATTGCAGCTGGCCAGAGACCTCGACGGCTATGGACGATGTGCGATGAGTATAAGTTTGGGCAATGAAAGCACCTTCCTTCTCGAAAATGGGATTGCCTTGAGTGTCGGCGACGAAGACGCAGCCCCGAGGGAAGTGCCGGATGAGGTAGTTGAGGGAAGCGTCGTTGATTGCAAATGGCTGCTGAGGTGAGCCAGGATCGGAACCCCCGGGTACGATAGAGTCTCCAAGGACCTCGCAAATCGAGGATGCGACTCGGCTGTTGGGCTTGGGGTTTGCTGATGAGGCGTGGTTCAAGGGCTGGCTTGCGAAGTCGTTAATGGTGTTCTCGGCAGAGCCACGCAAGAACATCAGACCCTCGATATCCATAGCAGTTCGGATGAGGTTCGCAGCTCCAGAGTAGATGGCTTTCAGCGGTTGACTGGCCGACAAGGGTTGACCAGTGCTTGAAGACTTGACTTCATCCAGAGCGATGTTGGGACTGGGTAAGGATGAGAGGTCGGACATGGAAGTTGACGGAGTAACGTCCAGCATCGGGGTGTCATTCGGGCTCTGCTTGTCGGAGAGCAAGGGGCTGGGTGACAGTGTCGCATCCGATTGGGCAGGTGGGAGATCCAGGTAGTCGATGAAGCTGTGTTGGCTGTTTGAAGAGGAACGTCTTGTTGTGGCTCCGACACTGTCTCTTCTTGATCTCCTGCTCTCGATAAACTCGGACAAGCCCCTCATCATCTGTACCCCTCGCAGAGACTCTTGCTTGATGGCGTGGAGCTCGAACTGCTCGCTCACACAAGCAGCAATGTCGTTCAAGATGTCGATTGTCGAGTCGTTGAAGAAGTCTTCGCGGATCTTGTTGTCCATGATGCAGTAGGTGCCGAGGATGTGGCCGGAAGCGCTCTTAACAGGGACCTCTGCGTACGAGACGAAGTGTGGGAAGCCGACGACATAGGGGCAGTGCTTGTACTGGGCGAGCTGGCGCAAGTCGCGGATGACATAGCGGGAGGTGTTGGCGACGACCTCGTGGGACCTGATGGCACGGCGACCGGTGCGGTCGGTGAAGATGTCGACGGACTGCGGGCAGATGCCATATTCCTTGTTCAGACTCTGGACGCCGAGGAAGAGGGTGTCTTGTGGGTCGACGAACTTTGTGCTGTCGCGGATCGAGATGGTCCTGGTGGCTTCGGAGAGGATGTACTGGGTGGACGAGTCGATGAGCGAGACGTAGGCGCGGTCGCAGTTCATGCGCAGGCAGCCGTTCTGCGTGATGGCGGTGAGGAGGGGGGAAGAGGCGAGTTCTGGTGGCAGGGGCTCGCTGCGTTCGGCATTGACGAGGTCGGCGGTGATGTTGTTTGGTGCAAAGTATCTGTGGCGCGCCCACGAGTGTCAGCCGTGCGGTACTGCCTGTCCTCTGTCCTCTTGTCTCTGTCCTCTTTGCTCTTGCTCTGTCCTCCTCTTGACTCGGCTCATCCTCTCCATGCTTGTTCTCATTCCTCCTCTTCTTCGCACTCCTTCATGCTCCTCCACACCTGTCGTACCTTGCCAAAGCTCTTAGACGAAGCCACTCTTGCACCGAGTCCGAGGCGCCTGAAGTCGACATGACGCCGCTGTTGTTTCCGCTTGTGCTGGACCAAGGAGTTGAGGCAATCGTCGAACTGATGAAAGAGAGTGTCGCGCCTTCCCTGACCGTCTACATGGGTTGACGGTGCCGTGGCGATTCATACAGCAGCGCTTCACAGTACAGTCGACAGTATTCGAACCAGAGCGAGAGGACCAAGGAAGCAATTTGCTGCAGAAGAGCGGCACCTGTCGCCGATAAACTTTCTGCAGCCGCATGACGACGATCGACAGCTCAAACGTTTTTTCAGCCTCAGGTTCGGAGAAGCGACGGAAGTCTTGGCGAACCTCCCCTGTTCCATCAGCATCCGCTTTTGTTGATTTTCTTGTCGCCAATATTGAATTTTTAATGGGTTTTCGGCTGCTCGTTCGAGCTACAAAGCGTGACTTGTGTTCAGTGCATACCGCGTAATAGCCAATCCCAGTGTGGGTTTCCAGACCTGCATGGGAGCTCTCGAGTCGTGCAACAACTCAAAATGGCAGTGTGGGGGAGGATGCCCTATCTATCTCGGTACGAGCGGCTGATATCGTTATCCTGGTCTTTCGGAATGCTGTTCCTATACAACTCTTCGGTCACCAGGATGTTGAGATGGGGCCAGTGATGGATCTTGTCAAGTAAAAGTACAGTCGTTATCGTTATATATTACAAATTAGTCTATATCGTCGCTCGTGTCAATAGCATGTTCCTTTATGCATTGTCCTTCTCCTTGTCCTCGTCACTGCCAACTTGAGTCTTCTCGTCATCGCTCTTCTCGCCATCATTGTTCTTGTTCTTCTTGCCCTCATCCTTCTTGCTCAAGTACTCTTGAGTAGCCTTCTTGCTGCGAGCTCTCAATCTGTCACCCTTCCACCACAAGGCGAAGATGACCGGAATGAAGACAATGGTCAAGAAACCAAGTAGAGAGTTACCCCAGTTCAGGCCAAGAGTGCTGAACATCTGGCGGGCAAACAGAGGGAAGGCTGCTCCGAAGCATGAGCGGAAAAAGTCGTTTCCGGCTGAGATGGAGGCGAATTCCGCAGGGTAAGCATCACCGAGGTAGTTGAGGACGCCAGAGAAGGCACCAAAGGCACCGATGGTGAAGAAGGCGGTCGCGATGATGGGAACGATCCAGTGGACATCCACGCGAGCGGTCCAGCCGAACATGAACAGACAGATAGGTAGAGCAAAGCAAGTGACCAAGGCAGGCTCCAGTCTGATCTCGGGACGAAGAGTACCATCCTCCGAGAAGCGGTTCTCGACGTAGTAGTAGTTGTAGTACCAGTAAGGAGGAATGCAGATGAGACCACCAACACAGATACCGAGATAGCAGAGTCCAGTGATGCCGAGACTGAATCCGTAAACCTGTTCAAAGGCGATGGGAATCGACTCCAGCCAGCAGTAAAGTACAGCGTAGATGAGAGCAATGTACAGGTTAAGTGCGAAGACGATGGGCTCGGTCAAAGTGAGGGAGAAAGGCTTGACGAGAGTCATCTTGGCCATGTCGGCACCGGACATGTTTTCACCCATGATCTCAGGCTGGCACTTGATCTTGTCGTAAGGCTTGCCTTCCAGACCGTTGTTCTTCTCCTGCCACTTTCGGAGGCGGTTGGTGCGGCGGTAAAGGATGTTGTTTGCCGAGGTCTCTGGGAAGAAGAAGATCAAGAAGACGAGGCAGGGGCCAGAAATCCAAATCAGAATCCAGATCGGCCAAGTCCAGCCTTCGAACTGAGCAGCCCAGTTACCGACGACAGGACCAATGGTGGGACCCATGATGTTGGCGATACCGTAGATGGAAAGAGCATAGGCACGCTTGGCGGGGGGGAAAATGTCTGCCAGCGAAGCACCTCCTGTAGCAAGGACGGGAGAACCGAAGAAACCAGTAAGGAAACGGAAGGCGAGCAGCATGCCGATGTTCTTTGCGTACACGACTCCGAAGTTGAAGAAGACAAAGACAACCAAAGTGCCGATGTAAATGGGGTTTCTGCCGATCTGGGGAATTTCCGAGAGAGGAGACCAGATCATAGGTCCAATACCGTAGCCCAAAACGTAAAGAGTCAGACCAATGGTGACGACCTCAGTGGAGACGCCGAAGGCCTCCGTCAAGAATGGTAGACCAGAAGTGTAGATGGCGGATCCGATGTAGATAGAGAGAGTCAGGAAGCAGAGACAGAAAGTCACAAAGCACTTCTTGCCAGTGGACCAGTTGAGCGGGTTCTGTAACAAATTAGGTCGTACTCAGGGCAAGTAGGTTGCCAATGCGACTTACGTCGGGGTCGTTCTCAAGGAAGTCGATGAGCAAATATTTGCCCTTGGCTCCATTCTTTTCCTCGTCGTCAGAGGACTCTTCATCCTTGATCTGTCCAGCGTTGAACCAACTCTCACGGAGTTCCTCATTGTAATAATCTTCGTATGGGAAAAGTCTGCCACCGGAAATGTTGCGCATAAGGAAGCCAAAGGTGGTGTCCTTGAAGAGAGCCATTTTATGAATAGGATGCCAGGTAAAACCCTGGTATGGCAAGGTCGATGTGTAGCAAGGATGGTGGAGAAAGGAGAACTACCAGCACGACCTACCTATATACGATAAAAGGGTGTCGAGAAAATGTATTGTCTAGCCAGCGATTAGTGAAAAGTGATGATATCATCGGACGCAAAATCATCATTTCTAAGCTGCCAATTCGCTGAAGCCGCGGAGGCCCACGCGATGGAAAGGTGAGAGAAGACAGAAGGAAAAGACGACAAGGAAACAAAAGCCGTGCGGATCGATGATGTTTTGGTGACAAAAAGGGCTTTTTGCTGCTCGGAGGGGAGCGAAACCCGTTTCCGGATCGTCTCAAAGGATCGGGGTCCCAACTTTATCGGACGAGATCTGGAATGACGTACCTCCGGCAGTCCCTTTGTGGGTGCGTCGGGTCAGGAACAGTCAGGAAGCCGGTGAAAGTTGATGGATGTGGCTTGATTTGATGGTGTGCGGTGAGAGTGTGTTGGGATGACGCTCATGTTGGAGAGTTATGAGTCGAGACGAAGGACGAGAAGGAGTGCGATGAAGGGACAGAGACATGTCCAGACGGATCGGAAATTCCACAGCACAACACCAAGCAGGTTGAAGCCTGGAAGATGCTTTAAACAGTCGCAGGTGACAAGATGTCGCATTGCAAATATCCAAGCACTGCAAGAGATGCATGGCAAGCCTCGTCAGTCTTGTTTTGCCGATGGCGCAAACAGCCTTCGCAGAGCCTCGAGCGGTCGAGTAATATGGCGCCCCACGATCTGGGTGCTTTGACTCTTGCGGGAGACAAGCCATCCGTAAAGCTGCGTGAGGGTCCTTGACGCCATGCACTTTATTCCAACAGCAGATTCGCGTGTAGTTTCCACTCATGTAAATGTCATTTTGCAAGAGCTTGACTTAGGGGAGAAAAAGGTGATCGATTAATTGTGACAAGTGGGTCTCACATCTGAACATCACTCTTGTTACGTGTGAACCATTCGGACAGTGTGGATTTTTCCATGTCAGAATGTACTTGACAAGAAGCATCGGCGTCGGATCACCCACGACTGCAATATCCTTGATACTTATGACCCACGACATCTGTGTAGGCACAAAGAGTACTTTGCGCACCTTCGAAGAGCGATAAGTCCTCCTGTCGTCGTTGCGAGAGATGGGCAAATCAAGAACAGGGTGAGTAGCACAACAAGCGGATCGGAAAAGCGGCTTCGTTTTCCGCTCGGGAAAACAAACCCCCGTCGCGCGAGTTCTCGACCCCGCATCGTCATGATCAACAAAACAGCGCCGAGCTCCCCTCCAACAAATCCATCCCATCGCCAGCACCAATTGACCATGAGCAAATCTCGTCCTTCCTTCGACTCTCTTCCCCTACGCAAAGATGGCCCCCACGGCAATGCATGGGGTCTCTGGGGCACCAACGACCAACTCGGCATGCTGAACCTCCTCACCCCCACCAACACCACCGCCGCATCCAAAGAGATCGAGCACGGCACTCGCATCTCCGTCGACTGGCCCTTGAACAAAATGTCGCCTCCATGTTTCAACCGCATCGCATTCGGTCACAACATCATCAACAAAGCCCCTCGCTCCGTAAACGACGACACGGTCACTTTCAACACGCAGAGTTCTTCGCAATGGGATGGTTTCAGACACTACGGCTACCAAAAGGAAAAGAGATATTACAACGACTGCACCAATGAAGATGTCTTGGGGTCGGAGAAGAATGGCATTCACGTTTGGGTCGAGAATGGCGGTGTGGTGGGTAGAGGCGTGTTGTTGGATTACAAGAGCTGGGCTGAAGATAAAGGGGTTTGGAGTGTCGAGTCTTGTTTCCAGACCACACCTATCACCGTTGATGTGCTCGAGGACATTGCGACGAAACAGGATGTCGAATTCAAGGAAGGCGATATTCTGTTCATTCGCACGGGATGGACGGGCGCATATGATGTACTGGACACCCAGGCGAGGACGAAGCTTTCCGAGACATATCCACCTCCTGCCATTGGTATCGAGTCGTCAGAGAAGACGGTGAGATGGATCTGGCAGAAGGGCTTTGCTGCTGTTGCTGGTGACCAACCGAGTTTCGAAGCTTGGCCGTGCCAGAATACCGATTATCTGCTGCATGAGTGGTTGCTTGCTGGTTGGGGTCTTCCCATTGGCGAGATCTTCGACTTGGATAAGCTGGCCAAAGAGTGCAAGGAAAAGAACAAATATTCCTTCTTCTTCAGCAGTATGCCAATACATGTTCCCGGAGGTGTCGCAAGTCCGCCCAACGGCGTCGCGATCTTGTAATCACTCGAACAAACATATGAGTATGTATGCATGGCCGTGTTATTACTCTGATCTATTCGAATCTATCTATTTCTCTAACCTTCTATCACCCATCATAACGTTCATAACTTCATCAAACTTGGTCCTCTCTAATCATAACGGCTGCCTTCTCCGCAATCCCGTACAAGCTCGAACTCAAATGCGCAGACAATTGCACAGGCAACACACTCGCATCAACACATCTGACGTTGCTGATACCATACACCTTCAGCTTGTTGTCGACTACACCACCGAACTCCTCCTTCATCATACTCAACGTTGCGATAGGGTGCCAGACAGAGGTGAACGTATCCTTGACAAATGTCTCCCAGCCCGCATAGTCGCTAGGCACCTCAGCAGGCAGAGTGACATCACTGACCATCTCAGCAAGAGGTGCAGTGTTGTAAACCTCATGTGCTTGCTTCGTAGCCAATGTTTGCAGCTTCAAGTCCAGAGGATGTCCAAAGTATGATGGCTCAACAGTCGGCAAGTCGAAAGAATCGTTGCTGGAGATGTGGATTGTGCCTCTGGCGAGTACAATCAGGTTCCAAAGATCTGCGCCAACAGTCGCTGCACTGGTTTCGGTGGCTAGCGCTTGGGTGAAGAAGATCTCGGCTGCGGCTTCGCTGTTGTTGAACAGGTTTTCGACTTGGTAGTGCAGGACTCGGTGAGTCGCATTGGCGCTGGCGACGAGACCTTGGGCTTCAAGTTGGGCTGCGTATTCGGCGAGGCCGGCAAGAGTTTCTGCGTGGACGGTGGAGGATGCATTGCCAAGGAGCTGGTGCACGTTGGGGAACGCGATGGCGGATGATGGACCGGAGCCTTCGAAGTCGTTGGACTTTGGTGTGTATGTGACCGTGTTCTTGGTCTGCTCCTGAAGGTTCTTGCCAACACCCATGAGAGACTTCTTGACTGAAACACCAGCCTTGTTCAAGACTGCAGGGTCGCCGATACCGGAGAGCTCAAGGAGTTGAGGGCTTTGCATAGAGCCGGCAGCCAGGAGAACTTCGCGACTTGCTTTGACGAACAGTCTCTCGCTCTCGCGAGAAGCTTGGTAGTATACGCCGTCAGCAGTAAGCACACATTCAGGCTCTTCTTGTGTGCAAGTGTTGTTCCAACGGATCTCGACAGCACGGTGTCCGGTCAAGATGACGAGGTTGTCGCGAGACTGAGGTTCGCCGATGATGTATGCAGTGTAGGGGGAAGATCTGTTCTGACTGACATCGGGCTGTACCATATTAGGGATGATGGTTGCGCCGTTCACGATACCAGAAGCCACATCATCGACATGCTCAAGCCCCCAGACCTGCTCGGAAGCGTTGAGAGCGGGCTGATTGATGCCGCCGAACATCCCCTGAGCGAAAGAGACCTTGACGGGACCGCTGAAACCGTGCTTGTGGCCGTCAAAGTCGGCGCCCTTGGACTTGAGCTCATTGGAAGGGGCATAGAATTGTTCGGCACCGAGCATGTATTGATTCAAGCCGTCCCAGCCCCATGACTCGTCGCCAATGAGAAGAGGAAGAAGATCATACTGTGTCTTGGGTCCCTTGGTCCAACTAGCACCATTGATGCTGCCTGAACCTCCAAGAGTCTTGCCGGCAGCCATGGGAAGCTGTGTGCCGTTTCTCCATGAGATGGGCGTGGAAGTCATGTTGTAATCAAGGTCGGACTCGAACGCTTGGCCGTAGGTTCGGACATCATAGACTCGGGGGTCGTTGTGGCTGTCTTGACCACCTTCGATGACAAGCACCCTGATGGAAGGGTTCTCCGAGAGTCGGCTTGCAACAGTTAGACCAGTCAAGCCACCGCCGGCAATAACATAATCGAACGAGTCCTCCAGAGTGGTGTTGGAGGATCTAGTGGGGGCTGCGAGAGCGAGAGGAATGGCAACGCAAGCCAACAGAAGAGAGAACATGGTGATCAGGGGTACTGGTGGTGATTGATGAGGACATGCAGAAAGCTTTCACCTACCTCTTATACCTGAGCTCTTGCATCAAGGTCCTGATATCATCAATGTACCTACGGCCATACCGTGATGACGCCGGTCCGAGAAACGCGATACGCAAGGGCCAAAGGTCTAAACAGTTGAGGACAAGGAAGGACAAGAGATATCAAACGGCGCATCAAGACCGTAGCGTGGTGCACATGGTTATGTGCCAAGTAGCGCGTTGACGCAGATGGTCGAGATGTTTAACTGAAGGCGGTTGATGCAGGCCACGTTGAGGTGTCAAGAAAGTATATCTGATTGACACGGTTTGGTAAAAGGGCCGTCTCTAACGTTGCGGATGGCATGGCAAGTAGAGTGTTCAGCACCGCCAGCATTGGCGAAGCTTGAGTGTATTTCTTCGGCGGCCAAGTCGGTCTTGATGGAGAGATTCGCAGAAGGCGCAGCGCTGCACTACTGTTGGCGAGATGTCGTGACTGAGATGCACCTTGATGTGTTATCATCTGATCTTAGTCAATATAATCAATCATTTATGATCGCTAGAGCATGTTGAAATGGTTGAGTGAATGATGTTTTCCAAAAAGTTGTTGTCAACAGAGCGGACACGGCGGAGGGAAGTGAAAGAAGCAAACACGGTCTTGGCAATCGCTTTCGGCCGACGGCGACCCTTCGTCATACCTCTCACACTTTCACTTTTCCTCGAAGAAGACAACGCACGTCTGGACATGACATGGACTCCAACTCAAGAAGAGCGTCTTGCGCACGAGAAGATTCCTCACCACCTCAGCATTCGTCGAAGCACCGCTTAAACGTCAGACCGGGTTCCGTCCACTCACGACTTCAGTCGCAAGTCTCGAGGCTTTTGACGTGGGCTGAGAATCCTCGGTGTCGAAGTCACGACAATTCTGCCATTTCGAGAGCTGCAAGATGGGAATGCGCCATGAGATTCGTGCGAGTGGATAGTCACCCATCAAGCGTTGAGCAGGTCTAAGTCCACAATGAAGTCTGTCTTTCGACTTTGAACCTGTTCGTCTCATCTTGGTGTTCTCTCCAAGTCTTCTCATCTTCATGGGGTGCTTACTCCTCTTGACCATGATATCGCATCGTCGGAAGAACAGACCCCGAGATCAATCGCACCGCCACAAATCTCCAGCTCTCACGCCTTAACAAGGTTCGGCACACGGGCTTTAGGGCACGGTAAAGGGCGCGCTTTGTGCCCGTCATCACACCCCGCTTCTCTCCACACTGGAACATGCAGTCGATGTGGGGAGCTTCGAAAGAGGAGACAGAGCCCATGCAAACAGACTTTCATGCTGCTCATGCATGTAACCTGGACTCTTAGCTTCAACAGTTACGAGATCACAATCTTCTTCCACAGCTTCAACTGCCGATGGATGGTGTACCGAGCAGTATAAACCAGGAGCATTCCCGTCAGCCAAGGCAGTGATAACATCCAATACTCGAACACTCGATTGCCAAATCATGCGTCTGGAAGTGTTGACCATATCAGCCGTGGCTGTCTTCGGCCTAGGCACATCAGTCGCAGCTCATCCAGGCCTGATGCTAAGAAACAGAGTTCGGTACAGAGGCCTATTTCATGGACCCTTCTAGGAGCTGACCAATTCCAGAGCACCTCGACTTCTTCTGTTGCAAGCGACACAGCATTCAGCTACACTCAAGTCACCAGTGATCGATACGCGACCCCGATCGCATCGCCCGTCAAGTACCAAAGCGCCTTCGCACCACCGTATGCGAAGGCGAAGACTCTGCTGCCCTCGGGCATCACGTACACGACCTATTCTCTGAACCCCTCGGCCACCTCAGATGGAAGGTATGGACAAAGCGCGTATGCCGCTCTTTGGGCTGGGTACAGCTACCTGCATACCGTACCTTTCACAACCACTGCTCTACCGACACCCGTCGCAACCAGCGAGCTCGTCTTCCCTCCCGCCCTCCCTTTCGAAACGAGCTCTGCCTCGATGAAGTTTGACAAAGACTTTGTCTGGGGAGTCGCTGGCAGTGCATGGCAGATCGAAGGCGCATTGCAGCAAGAAGGTCGTGGCCCCGGCGGTTTAGACATCTTCGGCAACCAGAAGATACCAGCTTTGGCCGGTCAAAACGACTCTGCCGTGACAGACATGAACTACTACCTGTACAAGCAGGATATCGCTCGCTTGGCTGCTATGGGTGTGCCCTACTACTCTTTCTCCATCTCCTGGAGTCGCATCGTACCCTTTGGCAATGCCAACACTCCTATCAACCAACAAGGCTTGGATCACTACGACGATGTTATCAACACGTGTTTGCAGTACGGCATCAAGCCGATTGTGACTCTTGTTCATGCCGACACGCCTCCTTCGGTCGACTACGACAACGCCACATCTTCGACAGCGGATTACTTGTATTATGCCAAGCAAGTAATGACGAGATACGCCGACCGAGTGCCTTACTGGGTCACTTTCAATGAGATCAACACCGGCATAAACCTCCAATACGACACATATCAAGCCAACACAAATCTTTTGCTCGTTCATTCCGCCATCTACAGGTGGTACAAGCAGACTTTGAAGGGTACGGGCAAAGTGACTGTCAAGTTTGCCAACAACCTTGCTGTCCCTCGAGACCCAGCCAACAAAGACGACGTCGCCGCTGCCTTGAGGTATCAAGATTTCATCCTCGGAGTCTGGGGCAATCCTCTCTTCCTCGGAAAACAATATCCCTCCAGCGTGCTCAATACAGCTGTCAATCTCACTGCCTTGACTCCTCAGCAGATCGACTCTATCAAGGGCTCGGTTGACTTCTGGGCATTCGACCCTTACGTTTCTCAGCTCGCTTCTGCCCCTGACGATGGCCTGGCCTCGTGTATCAACAACTCCAGCCACACTCTCTTCCCTTACTGCGCCAACCTCACACAAAATGGCATTCAGCAAAATGGTTGGCAGTTCGGACAAAAGTCGAACGACTACGCATACATCGCACCTCAGTACGTCCGCCAGCAACTCGGCTATGTCTGGAAGACCTTCCAGCCTGCCGGCGGAATCATGATTACAGAATTCGGCTTCAACCCTTTCAAAGACGCAGAAAAGACATTGCCCGAGCAGCGCTATGATTTGGAAAGGACGTTATACTTCCAAGCATTCTTGACAGAGACTTTGAAAGCCATGTACCTTGACGGCGTGAAAGTTATTGGTGCGCTGGCGTGGAGTTTCGTCGACAACAATGAATTCCGATCATATGAAAATCAGTATGGATTGCAGACTGTCAATCGTACGAGTGGGAAGTTTGAGAGACACTACAAGCGCAGCTTCTTCGACCTTGTGGATTTCTTCCACAATCATATCGCATAAGGGAAACTTGCGCATATGATTATATATACCAATCCGAAGAAAACGAACCCCTAGGATAGACACAGCTTACATGCAATTTCTCTTTTGCAAAAGGCTCTAAGAGACATCGAGTGTGGATCATCAGACTATGCTACGCATCATATCCCACGCTGATTAACCCCTTATCTGATTCGACTCACTTGGAACACTTACCTTTATCCTACACTCTCTACCAAACAAGAGGGGTGTTGTCGAAGGCGAGGAATCTACCAGAGGTTTCCTCACGTGTAGCGGCATCGACCTATCGAACTTGATCAGCCCTTGGCTCCGACGAGTAAATGGGGTTAGGCTCAGGACGCTTCATACCTTTGCGACGATACCGTCAACGCTATCTTCCACGCTGGTGAAGGCGGCTTCGAAGCCGAAGAACTGGGCAGCCTTGTTGCCTTCGTCAGTCTGGACAGCACTGTGCATTATTAGTATGATGTCTTCCGGCTGCTCAAGTTGGCATGCAGGTGGTAGCTCACCCAGGATGAAACGCAATGGCAATGAGATCCTTGTTCTCGATATGGATGCGACGAAGAAGAAAGTTGAGAGCGGCCTTTGAAGCGCCGTACGAAGTCACAGCCCAGGGTATATACTCAGCACCACCGATGGTTCCAACTCCAGACGAGATGGCGATGAATTTGGGCTGTCTGCTGGCGTGGAGCAAAGGCAGTGTCGCCTGGAAAAGACGGACTGGTCCATTGACATTGATGTCAACGTGTTCGAGCAGGTCTGAAGATTTCATCTTGGAAACCTCGAGGAATGCCGCGGACTTGAAGATGCCGGCATTGGCGATGACAATGTCGAGGTGCGACACGCCTTGCTTCTTGATGCTCTCGACGGCTTTAAGGGCATCGGTTGCGGAGGCGCTCTCGATCTTTACAAGGATAAGTTTGCTGCCTTGGGCGTTGTTGAGGTTAAGGAGTGCCTTAGATTCTTCGCTTTCTGGGTTGCGAACCGCGGCCACAACGACGGTGTCTGGTCTTGAGCGGTACTTCTGTACGAAGCCACGACCCAGGCCCTATATGAGATGGTAAGCGTATGCTGGAGTTAATCAGTTGGATCTGCTGACCTTGTTAGCACCGGTAACTAGAACGGTAGTCACGGCGATCATGTTGAAATCGGTTCAGAGGAAATGTTGAAAGGAAGACGATATTGATCGGGCTCGCAAGCGGAGGTGGTTGCTCTGTGTGTTAGATGATAATTCGGAATGCGATACTCCGCTTTGGGAGCGTCTAGGACATTGTACTTATACCTGTCATAAAGGTGGTCTTGGTCGAAACACACCATTTTCAAAAGGTCTGTCCTAACTTTCAACATTGCTAAGCTGAACGCAGATTATGGTATACGAGCTAATTGCTAGGTGGATACGGAGTAATCTGACGTCATCTCACTCTGCACAGTTTCAACGGACTGTTTTGTAGGATCACTTTGCTTGACAGATTCGATGGATGAAGCATTTGCCTGCTTGAATAGATGCGAGTCTTGAGATCCAGGCGCCAGCATGAAGAACAGTTTTCAGGAAAGAAGCCTTGGAAGATGAGGCTTCGAAGTCACTCGCGGTCGCGGCGGCTTGCTCCGATTTCTTGGCAGTCGCAACACAGCGGTCGATAATGATGGCTTTCGCGCTCGAAGACCTGGCGCATTGATTCCGACAACATGAAGACCATTCCGTGCTGGAACAATGCCCAGAGACTCGAATGTCCTGTAACCATCATCTTGCATCTGAAAGAGCGCCATGACCGACACTGACCTCCAATCACGGGCGCCACGCCATGCTGAAGAGACGGGACACGAGGAGGATCCCACACTAGACGATAAAGCGCAAGAAGAGGGTGAACAAGAGGAGGGACAAGGCCAAGGCCACGAGCGAGAACCAGAGGGAGTGATGTCTCGGATCAGTCCGCCAACCCATCAAGACGACCTCTGTGAGCGTCGGCGCCAGCAGAACCGCGAGGCCCAGCGTCGTTTCCGTCGTATGTAACACTTCTGTAAAGAGACAAAGAGAACACATACTCATGCACGCCCAGTCAAGAAGGCGAAGGAACGCGAGGCGGAAACCCACACTCAGCTCGCTCCAATTCCAAACGCTTTATCCACTACATCGCACCCCATCAATCATGTTGCTCGTGCTCCCATACGTTATGACGAGTCATGCGACTTACTTCTCTCCCCTTCGTCTATATCAGCTCACGGAATGGCCATACCACAGGAAAATGCTAGCACGTCTCCATTGTCCGAGCCAATGACCACGCCAGTTTTCGGCATGCATTCTCAAGACTGTTTAGGACAGAACTTCACCTTAGGCCTCAACACGTCTCTTCCCAGCTTGGGCTTCGACTTCGACGATCTCGATGACTTGACTTCTGGTTCACAGAGTTTGGTTGGTTGTGCTTCCTCTGAGCACGATCAAGTCCACCAGTCCGTCTCCGCAGATATGGATGGATCTGCTAGTGACGATTGCGCTTGGCTCGATGATCACGAACTTGCTCTTCTGTTCCGTGACAATCAGCTCCAGCAGCTTCCCAAGGAGCAGCATGAAGTCACATGGCCTGATCGGCAATCAACAATTGCACTTCCCGACATCGATGAGACCCGTCAATCTCCTTCGCATTCATCTTCAACGCCGGCTCCAGAGCAACTACAATCTTCACATGACTTGTCGAATCCTCTGGTCATTGACGGATCCTATGAGCATCGCCCGAGCTTGCATCAAACCCCTTCAGATACAACACCTCCGGGTTCACGACAAGAACATTCTAGCACAACACCCAAAACACTCATTCCATCACAACGGCCTCAGCCCCAGGTCTCCGTCGGACCAACCACCTATCCTGCATTTGATCCTCAACAATCTCTCCTGCATATGGCAATCGAAAGCAGACACGAAGGCATCGTACGCATTCTCCTCGAAGAAGGTGTCGACATCAACGAAAGGAACAGCGAAGGAAGTACCGCTCTTTATATGACTATACAAAAGCGGCAGGAGAACATGCTACAGCTCTTACTTAAGAAAGGTGCAAACGTCGATATAGTAGATAACAAAGGCCGCAAGCTAGTACACCTAGCGATAGCCTCCGACTTCTAGACTAGTCTAAGACTCTTGCTGCGTCATAAAGCCGTAACGAGTTTCACTACAGCATAGGCTTAATTACACTGCCTAGGAGACTTTATCTCTTACGTTAATTCTCTTAGGAAACATCTTAATGAAGTCTTTCTACATAACCTTATAGGAAACCTAGACAAAACTAGTACATTAGTCTAAATCACTTCTTCTTCTTCTATAAGATAGCCTATATCTTATTAAGACTAGTTAACATCTTAATCATCCTATTAAACTAAGCTATTAGTAATGAACTCGCATACCTTAAGAGCGTAGTAGACTTACCTAACCAAATCGTCTATAGCGGCGTCTACTTTAACAACTCTTTTATAACCTATCTCGCCTACTCTTCTACTAGAATGCTACGATCTCCTAACTAATTAACCCTTAGTGCACTTTCCGTTTCTTCTTTAGTAGGAGTATATAATGAGCCCTTAGGTAGTTTAGGATCCTTAGCCCGCACGTTTATTACGATTTGCGTACGTATACCGCTAGTTTTAAGGTTAATAACTATAATATCGAAGGCTTCGAGTTCTAGACGTATAGCATCTAAAAACATAGACATAGCGGCTTTTAAAGCGTTATAGACCAATTAAAATAGTATAGTAAGATATACTCTAATAGAAGTATAATTTACTATTATCGCCTTCTTTAATTTAATAAGCTAAGGCAGAAACGCTTAGATTATAGCGATATTACCCTAAACTATAATATTAAAAATATTCTTCGCTTCTAGGATAGAAATGTTAGATATAGTCGTTATTATTAGGGCTCTAGCATTATTAATAAGTATGTTAAGGCTAGGGATTTATTTTATATAGGCTTCGATAGACTCTTAGGATTAGACGTCTAGAGTTAGCGTTTTAATACCTAAAGCGGATAGGCTAGCTATCTTAGAAGTGTTACGAGCAGTTACGTAGACGTAGAGGCCTTATTCGTAAAGCACCTTAGTAAGTTTAGTACCTATACTACTATCTAAGTAGCCGCTAATAAGAACTATACGTTTAATTCCTAACATAGTGCTAAAACTAAGGTAAAGGTTAATCTAAATTTTGGGTAGAGCTATATAGTTATTCTACGTAGATAACATAAGACGTTCTATACTAATTATATAGTGATGCTTACCTTACAATTATATAGAAGAGTATCGACCTAAAGTCTACTCCTTAACGCTAAGTACGATATAATTGCCCTATAGCTAGTACGTACACTTCCTATAGTTTCTTCTAGGTAGTAGTAGTAAGGGCGTAATACGTAGTAGCCTATACTACACTATTACTAAGATTAATGCTATTAACTTTTCCTTAACCGTCTATATTAGGGTTTTATTATATCGTTCTTACCTAAAACTAAGTAGATCTATAAAAGAATATAGAGGTACTAAAACCTATTAATAATATTAATGAGACGAAGTTTAAGTTCTTTAAGTACTATCGTACTATCTATTAGTTAAATTAAGGTATAGGTACTATTCTCGAGAAATTAGAAGCTTTAGATCTAGCTAATAACACCTTAGTCGTCTTCCCTAGCAACAATAGGCTACCTTTCCTAGAATCTAAAATTATATTTTATAATGTTAGGCTTTATCTACTACTTATTATAATCGTACTAGATTAATTCGACTTTAATCTTAAGAACGTTCGTGTTCGAGATTAAAAACTATAATGCGATCGTTAGATCTAATAGCACTAAATACTATAGTAGCTAATCTTTAGGTATATAGACTAGGAAGATTAAGAAAGTAGCTACCTAAATAAACTACCTTTAGTCCTAGCAAGTTTAGAAGGCTTTCCTTTCTCTATAACCCTTCCTTTATTTATAATAACTACTATATTATAGTTAATAATAGAACGCAATTTATGCGCTATATAGATTATTATATAGTTTCTAGTAGTATAGTGTTCCTATAGAACACGCTATACGATCTAGTTAGAGGTAGTATCTAGACTACTTATTAGCTTATTAAGGATAAGAATCTTACTTATTAAGAGTATAGCGTAAGTAATTGCGAAGAGTTACATTTCTCCCCTTATAAGTATGTCTTCTAGGACTAAGAGCTTATCTAAGATATTAGAAATAGAGCTCTTATCCTTATATAAACTAAGCTTTATAGATAAGCCTGTCCTTTTAAGAGTAAATATAATAGTATTATTAGTAATACTAGATGCTTAATAGAGTAAAAGGTTATAGCGAATAGAGCTATTTATGAAGTAAGGATCTTACGTTAATAGTATAATTCTAGCGCGAAGAGTAGTCGCGCGTATAGATGTCGCGTCTAAATTATCGACGGTAATAGTTCTAGAAGTTATATAAAGGAGGCCAAAGATTATAGAGATTATTAATGATTTACTACTACCTATACGACTATATATTACGACCTTCTTACCTATTTTAATGTATAAGGAGATATCCTTAAGTACTAATGATGCTATAGAATCGATAGAATATAAGGCTATAAGGTTTTAAATGTTAATTTTGCCTCTCTCTAGCTAACTTGTTAATAGCGTAATCTATCCTTCTACTTCCTATAGTAACTCGTTTATAAACTAGTTTATACGAGCTATAGCTCCTAGACTTATCTCTAGTAAAGTCTAGCTTTAGATAAGAATCTTAAAATGGAAGCTAATGTCCATAATACCTATTAGTACGAGACTAAGGTAGCTAGTATCTAGACCCTTAAGGTTAAAAGTAATAGATATAATCGTAGTTACTAGTCTAGCTACTACAAGATTAAGGACGAGTACGAGCTAATTCTAGATAGAGGCTAGTAAATAGTAAGGTACTTAGCTATTTCGTAATAGTTAAATGTTTATCTCTCTATAGTCCTCTATCTATCTAAAAGCTTTAATTAAGGCTAGTCTAGAAGCTAACTATAAGAAGTAAGTACATAATGGAGCCTTTACTTCTAAGTCTAGTATTCTTAACTACTTTAACGTTTAGAGATAAACGTATTAAATAACCTAAAATATTACGCATAGGAATAGGATAGTAATACTAATATAAGGGGTAGCGACTATAAGAAGTATAGTACTAGCAATACTAGTATATACCTACATAATAGTATTAATGAATGCATTAGTAAGCTAAGTGTCGATAATTATTATATCCTACGAAAATCTGTTAATAATACCCTTAATATTCTAAGTAATCTATATAATATAGGTAATTTTCATTAAGGCTTCCTACTAGCAAACGTAAAGATGTAGACTTAACCTTATAAGAAGGCTAAGAAGACTATACCTAAATAACGATATTAAAAGTAAGATAGTAATATAGCTAATAGCTATAAAGACTAAAGCCTAGACTCTTAGCTTTAAAGCGGCCGTAGTCTCTACTACTACCTACCTACTTAAGCTAAATAGATTACATCTATATCGACCCTATATATAGGGCTAGAAGCGCAAAATAGAGTGCTATATAGTAAAAGCTAAATAACTTAAAGTACTAGCTATAGACTTCTAAGTTAGGTTAGAGTCGTAAAATAGGAGGTTTTATCTTTATAGGTACTAGGTTAATAAGTGCTATAGCCGAGTCTACTACAAATTATTGTTAAGATTAATTTAAATAGGTTTTTGCTTAGAAGGTTAAATCTTAGATAATTAGCTCCTACTAGAGCTATCCTACTAATTTAGAACAGAGATTTTTGCTAATTAATAGTGTATACGAATAAGTTATAAGATAAGGAATTATAAGTAGCTAAAACTAGGACCTAGCTATAGCTACACTTAAGGTCGTTTACTACGCCCTCTAGCTACTAGAGAAACACGAATTTAAGCATGCTCTTAGATATGTCCTAAGATGTTAGCGCCCTTAGTCTAATAGTGCTATAACTACTACTAATACTTTAGTTATAACTAGGGGCTTTCTAATTATCTAAGAGTCTACTATTAGACTTTTCGATTCGTCTCTCTCTAACTATTTTAAGAGGACACGTTATCGCTAGTTTCTATTTAGCTATACTAATATAGCTATAGTATGTCTAGATACTCTTTAGTCCTAGAAATTAGTTTAGACATCTAGTTTGCCTCTAGATAGCCGCTCCTTTTATAGACATTTAACTTATATATAGGGTTATTACCTCCGTATATGTCCTACTAAATTAGCGGTAGAAGATATAGCACTTAGTTATCTACGTAATATAGAGCGCCTCTAGGTAGGCAATTTAACTACTTTTAAGTAATAACCCTTAGACATACTCTATAGCTACGATGTTAGGTAGGGCCTAGACGCTATATATATCTACTCATTTTTAGTCTTTATTATATAATTTAGCGTTTATCGCCTAAGACTATAGATCTAGATAAATAAGTTCTATATTATAGAAGGACTTAACTCTTATATGTATATAAGATAAACTACGATTAAATAGTAGAAGTGCTTCTAACGCTTAGCGCTAACCCTAATCTATAATACGATAGTAGCCCTACTATCTTATATAAAGCTATTAGATTAGAATACCTACTAGTCGTAGGATCTTTACTATGCTTACCTTTACTTTTACTTACCTCTTTAACGATGTAAGATAGCGAACAAGTCCCTATCCTACTATTACTTATATAACTTAAATCGATTGACCTTCTAGAATTAGCTCTTACCCGCCATAATATTAATATTAATAAGAAAGACTATATTAGATAGACTATACTTTAGTACTTACTAAGCATCTTTTATTACGATTAGGCATTAGCGTTCTAAGAATCTATTCTAAAGCTTATAGCTAAAGATGCCTAGTATAACATTAACGTAGTTACTATTAGGGGGCAAAACTATATTATATAGGTACTCTACTCCTATATCTTAAGTCTAGAATTACTTAATGTTCTACTTAATCGTAGCGTAGACTTAAACTATAAGGATTAATATAGGGAAAGTGTAATCTTTTACGCTATTACTCTCTAGTATAATATAAAAGTAGTAGCTAAACTAATTAAAGAGGGTGTAGATCTAATAGTTAGGAATTACTAAGG